AATAAACTCTTAGACTTCAACACCAGAGACAGGGCCCACACTACATCAAACAAAACAACACGGTTGTCCTGCCCCAGATCTGAAAAGAGGACGTGATCCAACTTTTCAGACCCGAGTTCAAGAGGGGGGTCAAATTTACAACTAAAACTTTTAAATCGACGAAAGCTGCCGTCATCTTCTTCACCAGCGACCCTCATCTTCTTCTCATGGACCGCACAGGACACACGGACAAAAAGACAGAAAAAAAGACTGCCAAATATAGGCAGCACTATGTTAATATCAGTCACAAATGTACATCTTTCAAAATTACACATACATAATAACACATACACATGCAAAGAAAGAGTTCACTTCCAGCCAGACGCGATGCTATGATTTCGTTATGCTTTTCATGCTGCGCCCACTCAATTTCCACTTGTTGGAGACAATAAAGCTCCCAAAATATCAGAATTTTCAGTCGCACAATTTCAGACATTTTGCGCAAGTGTTCCAAATGGCAAGATCGCGGGTTTCGGAAATAAACTCTTAGACTTCAACACAGAGACAAGGGCCCACACTACATCAAACAAAACAACACGGTTGTCCTGCCCCCAGATCTGAAAAGAGGACAGTGATCCAACTTTTCAGACCCGAGTTCAAGAGGGGGTAAAATTTACAACTACTTAACTTTTAAATCGACGAAAGCTGCCCGTCATCTTCTTCACCAGCGACCCTCATCTTCTTCCTCATGGACCTGCACAGGACACACGGACAAAAAGACAGAAAAAAAAGACTGCCAAATATAGGCAGCACTATGTTAATATCAGTCACAAATGTACATCTTTCAAAATTCAACACATACATAAATAACACATACACATGCAAAGAAAGAGTTCACTTCCAGCCAGACGCGATGCTATGATTTCGTTATATTTTCATGCTGCGCCCACTCAATTTCCACTTGTTGGAGACAATAAAGCTCCCAAAATATCAGAATTTTCAGTCGCACAATTTCAGACATTTTGCGCAAGTGTTCCAAATGGCAAGATCGCGGGTTTCGGAAATAAACTCTTAGACTTCAACACAGAGACAAGGGCCCACACTACATCAAACAAAACAACACGGTTGTCCTGCCCCCAGATCTGAAAAGAGGACAGTGATCCAACTTTTCAGACCGAGTTCAAGAGGGGGTAAAATTTTACAACTACTTAACTTTTAAATCGACGAAAGCTGCCCGTCATCTTCTTCACCAGCGACCTCATCTTCTTCCTCATGGACCTGCACAGGACACACGGACAAAAAAGACAGAAAAAAAAGACTGCCAAATATAGGCAGCACTATGTTAATATCAGTCACAAATGTACATCTTTCAAAATTCAACACATACATAAATAAACACATACACATGCAAAGAAAAGAGTTCACTTCCAGCCAGACGCGATGCTATGATTTCGTTATGTTTCATGCTGCGCCCACTCAATTTCCACTTGTTGGAGACA